GAACATTAATCTTGAAAATTATCACTTTAAATGTTATAAGTCTTTGTGTTATTAATTATTTACCTTATTAATATTATCATATGTTAATTTCTATAAGGTACTTAAATTTCTACGATTCTACGATTCGATTTTACGATTCCGATTTTACCCCAGTTTTCGATTTTAGGTAAAATCCCGATTTTGAATGTTTTGCCTATCTATAGCTCTTGCCTCTCCGCTTTCTCCCTCAATTTTTGACTTCACTCTCCGTGTCTATTGACCTCTCTTTGCTCAGCTTCCAGGTCAAATCAGGTGTGGAATGAACTTTGCATGTCGACGAGCCTCTCTCCTCTTCCGTCGCGGCCGTTGTGTGAGGTTTGAGAGGACGGGTGGCGGCTGCTATGTGTAGCTAGGGTTTGGAGAGGATGGGGGTTGGCTGTCGGCTGTGGGTTGAGTGGGCTAGAGAGTGGATGTGGGCTGCGGTTCAGTGGGCTGGAGAGTGGCTGTGGGTGGGTTTCAGTGGAATTCATCTTTGTCAGGAATACTCAATATTACTAACGCAAAAAATGTAGTCATCACAAATAACGAGTGTTCGGAACTGTATCCTCTAAAAAATGGCCATTACTGATGAAAAATCTTACAATTACTGACAAGATTTTAATTTGGTCAGTAAAAAATAGATATTACTGACGACACGTGTTTTTCGTCAGAAAAAGTGACATTTTGTGACGAGAATTTAGCATCGTCAAGACTGTCTATCTTTTTTGTAGGGCCCTAAATACAAAAATCATTTTTATAACCACACCTTACCCACTTGTGCGGTTTGATGAGGTTTACGGGTTATCTGCAAATTGCAAACCAAACTTTTCTAATAATATTATTACTATTTAATTATTTTTAATTAATGTAAAAATAATTCAAATCACCTACCACATTAGTGGTCAACTCGTTGACCATTGACCACTAACAGACAATGTTAATAATGTTAATGGTGATGAAAGTTCGTGCGAGAATTGTCATATTGAATACTTTAGTATACAAATGACACTTTTTTATAATTTGGTTGTTCTAGTGAAATTTACATAGTAATTTAAGCGATAATCTACAAAAAGAAAACTACAAAAAATTACTATGGTTTAAAAATATGAAAACTAAGAGTAAGTATCATGATTTGCAAACTGGTGGCATGTCGGCCTGTACAACCGGGGTCAACCAGTACTAGTGACAAAACTAACTAGCATGTCCTAGGTATAACTGGCATGAGCAATTTCAGACTTCTAAAAATATAATGTTGTTTTGTTGAATTTAATTAAGAAAAAGATAAGCTAATAAGCATTACTAGATTTATCCTAATGAGTTTACTCACCTTTTCGACTCATTTCTAATACAAATCTTTGAGATTATTATCATAGTGTCAAGAATGATGAGATATTTCATGGAATAAAATAAATTCATGAATTAGCTTAATGAATGGCGATGTCAAAAGTGAATCCATCATATTCATCGATCTATTTGCTTCTCAAACTTGTTTAGTGGTTGCAACTACAAGTGTTGAAATAACTTTTCCAGCTTTGGATTACATTTAGAACACGTTTCGACATCGAATAGGAGATCAGTTCGGTAATAATTTCTAAATGGGTATATTGAAAGCTCTACGCACTAGGTCGTTTGGTTTTGGTGATAGTCAAATTGATGCATTGGCATGCATAATAATATACATGTACATAAGAAAATTGGTATATTATAAATTACATCGTTTGATTTATGTGATAGTTATTGTAGTATTTAAATAATTTATATTAATTTTTGGATGAAATGTCACTTTTATCATTATGTTTTATATAAGAAAGCAACACTTATAAAAAGGTAGAGACATAGTTGGAAGAAAAAAAAGACTCAACAATGTCACCCAAAAATTGGGATTTAACTATCACTCGTTTTTAGTGATAGTTTGTGTCTCACATCAAGCAAACAATGCATGTATTGTTTGTGCAGAAAATTCAAAAAGACAAATGCACTGTAACTATCCCAATTCCCAACCAAACAATCACCAAAACCAAATGTCATATTTTAATTTTTTGCAGAATTTGAAAATATGTCGTGATATTTTGTTACGACTTGTACCAATCAGAAATTTTCTAATTTAAAGAATTTTTTAATATTTTAATTTGATTTTAGAAGAGGGCAGCCGCAAAATAAAATTGTTGATCCCATCATTTTTTTTTTTTGACAAAAGATACTCATATATAGAATCAAAAGATAGTTACATCCTGGATCAAAGCCAGGCCTGAAAATCAAACAAACGACAAGAAGCCGGATACAAAGTAAGGGCCTTTCTAGCCACCCTATGGGTTACCCTATTGCTATCCCGACCAACAAATCGAATACTAAAACCCAAATGACTCCCCAAGCACCGCGCAATCTCTTCCAGAACCACCCCAATCCTGCTATCCCTGGTCTCAGCCTGATTGACTTTGTCAATAATGACCTTAGCATCCCCTTCAAACAAAACATTCTGGGCCCCAAGGTGCACACACCAGAAGAGAGCTTCCCTGAGAGCAAGGGCTTCTGCTACCAAAGGCTCATCAATCGAAGGGAATTGACAACCACGAGCCAAAAGTAACCCACGGCGTGTATCAAGCAGAACCATTCCAGCACTCGAGTGAGACCCTGACCGAGTAGCCCCATACCACATACAAACTATCGAAGGACCCAACGCCTGCTGATTTGTACTGGGAGCTACTGGGGGCATACACTGCGGCATCCTGTCATCCAGCACCCGCTCCCACTCCTCACACTGCTGGTGAAGCTGACGCATCAAAGTCGGGAAGCCAAATTGCTTGCCTTCAAAGACAACCCAGTTACGAGACTTCCAAATTCGCCAGAGCACAGCCACCACCGACATAACCACCGAGGGCTGCTGAATAACGCTAAACAGCCTCTTAAGGAAGAGAGGAAAAGTATGGCGGGGCAAGCCTTGCCCCAGATGCTCCAGCCCCGAGTAGTCCCACAGGGCCCGGGCCACTGGACAATCCAAGAACAAATGCTCCAACGTTTCCGATGCCCCCCAACAGACCGGACAACGAGGGGCCACAGGGACCCGTTTCTCAATAAGTGCTTCCGTGGTTGGAAGGATACGGTGAAAGATTTTCCAGATAAACACCTTTAGCTTAGGAGGGATATTAGACTCCCAAAGCCGAATCCAACTAGCTCTATCCATCCAACTGGCCGTGGCCCTCCAAGGCCCACTCCTTCTATCCAGATCAACAGCAAGATGATAGGCCGATTTTACAGTAAACACACCATCAGCAGTTCCATGCCAGATAAGCTTGTCTTCCAAAGGATGCCGCGGTAATGGAATCGCCTTAATGCGGCGGCAAGTTGACGGATCAAACCACTGGCCCAACTTGCCCTCACACCAACCACCCCCATTCGGGACCATCACCTCCTCCACTCTAGGGTCACCTCCCATTGGAAGAATCTGAGGGTTGGCCACCGGAAGGTCAGGGTGAAGTTGTGGAATCCAATTAGACCCGAGCAGGGACGCTTTTTTCCCATCACCAATCTGCCATCGAAGGCCTCTTTCAAGCAAATCCCTACCAAACAGCACACTCTGCCAGCCCCAAGAAGGTCTGGATCGTGCCTTGGATTGGAGAAAGGTCCCAGTCGGATAGTATTTACCCTTATAGACCTGTGCCTGCAAGGAAGTAGGCTCATTGAGGATGCGCCATCCAATTTTAGCCAGTAAGGCTTGGTTAAACTGTTCAAAACGGCGAAAGCCCATCCCCCCATCATGTTTACTACGACACATATTTCGCCATGAGACCCAACGAATGCGAGACTGATCATTCATCCCATCCCCCCACCAAAATCGGGCTACATGTCTATCAAGCAATCTACAGAGGGACAAAGGCAGCTTGAAACAAGACATCACATGGAGGGGCAATGCTAAGGCAATGGATTTAATAAGAGTCTCCTTAGCTGCCCAAGATAAGGTCCGTCTCTTCCATCCTTGAAGTTTTTCTAACAATTTCTCCTCCATGTACCGAAAGGTATCCATTTTAGAGCGGGCAATCAGAGTTGGCAGCCCCAAATATTTATCATGGACCCCCACAGCACCCACCCCCATTACTGCCGCCAAAGCAACCTGGTCTTCATGATCAACATTCTTACTAAAGCACACAGCTGATTTCTCCAAGTTCACACGTTGGCCACTCAGTTCCTCATACTCGTTCAACACCTCTAGCAGATTCTCGCATTCCTGGAGGGTACCCCGCAGGAATAGATAAGAATCATCGGCAAAGAATAGATGAGAGATACGAGGAGCACGTGGGGGCACCTTCACACCTTCCAGTTTCCCTTCCATTATGGCTTTGCGAAGGATTGCCGCAAAGCCTTCTGTGCATAGCACAAACAGGAGCGGAGAGAGCGGGTCCCCTTGTCGGAGTCCTCTGGAGGGTGAGAAATACCCAGAGGGAGTGCCATTCATGAGAACTGAAAAAGACACCGATCTTAGGCATTCGTATATCCATCCTCTCCAGACCGAATTGAAACCCATCTTCTCCAAAACCGCCAGAAGAAACGGCCATTCGACTCTAACATATTTAATATTTGGTATATTTAAGAATGATAACTTTTATTATGGCAAAAAAAGAAAATCACTTTTTTCCTTATATTTGCACATTCAACATATCTATAATCTTAGATTCATTTTAAATATTTACCATTATTACCAACCGACGTTAGAGGATAATATCATGCTTCAAAAATGACAATTGACTACCACCTACATGCACCTTATTACATTTAATTTATTGTCTCGTTTTTTCCCCATTAGCATCTGTTTCCACCGGTCCTCCTTCCTTGTATATAGAACTCAATTGCCTTACTTGTCTTCCATCCCCATCCCAATTCCATGTATCCATAACCTTCTCATAATTCATTACACGCTCTCATTATGTACCGGCTTCTTATAAGTAGCAAAGGCCGAACGACGACAGAAGCAATCAACCAAACTATTGATATAATATCGAGCAAATTTAAATAATTAGTAGAGCTCTCACTTTTTATTATTCAAGTGATTCGTATAGATAAATATGGCGAGATATTCCTCCTTCTTGTGCTTCCTTCTGGCAGTTTTGCTCTTCACCTCCCTCGGTAAAAATCTTTGTTTCATGCTACCTATCCTTTTTTTTAATTTCATGAATGTCGCGCATAGCTCGTATTTTTTTAATTTAACGATTAAATAACTCATATTTTCTTTAAGGCTCCGGGGATTGAATTCGCACTATGTTGATTAATGTTCTACCAGTACCATTACGCCTAATAAACTTACACATTTCTGTTAATTAATTTTCCTGTTTTTTTTTTGTTGTGGCGAAATATACATGCACGTCTACAAAAAAAAAAGGAGGCGGGAAATCGGCGGTGGAAGCAGAACAATGCGTATCGGTATATGATTGCAATGGCGGAAACGATGCTTGCAACAAGAAATGCCAAGCTATTTTCCATGGCGTCGGAACTTGCAACGACCCCAATACTCCCAACTTCTGTTCTTGCAAATATGACTGCCCCAAAGCTAGAGACTAATTGAAGAAAGAACAGTGGTGTCGCTATAGATAAGATGGATCGAGTTAAAAACTTTTTATAGTATATGTACGCTGTCCACACTTAATTTTTAATCGGAGCAATAATCCATCTTGGCAGTCATAATTAATCTTTTCTTTCGTTGAATGTCATAATTAATTATAAGATATTGTTTTTATATTATTTCCAATAAATCCCCATCTTTATTTTATTTTGTTATTTTTACCATAGAAGAATTTGACTGGCTTGTTGACGGGTATGTAAGCATATACACGATTATATTATGATGCACATTGAACACTAGAAAAAATAAATGCTTGTGATGAGTAAATGACTCATCATCAACTGTTAAATACGCATGAAGTCATACGATTAGGATGCACTCAGAACACAAGAAAATTAAATGATTGAGATGAAAAATGACTCACATCCACCAATTTGGGTGGGCGGATAGGTTCGACGGAGGGTCAATTATTTGTCAAATAATAAGATATTTATAGGTCTTAAAGCTTACGATGAGTTAATTATATATCAAAAGTAAAAAATTCAAGAAAATCGATAACCGTTAATATTAGTTTATCACATAATCTAACATTAGTCGTTCAACAATCAAAAAATATTTTATGGAGAACAATCATATTTTCTAAATTTTTTATTTTACAATTTGTGTCGTAGGCCAAACAAAATTTATAAAAATAATAATCATTAAATTGAATCGATCACTACTACCATTTTAAGATAAGAATAATTGTATTTTTACAGAGTGTAGATTACGGGCACAATATATTGGATGGTTTTTTCGGCCAATGCCACCGCTACTCAATTCAATTTCACGAGTCACAAAATTACGACGCCTACCCACTCACCATATCCACTCAAACACGTTTTGAATGAGTTATAATTGGGTGGATTTGGATGAGTTTAGAGGTTGACTCATTCAATGTCCATCTTTCATACATTTCATACATGGTAAGAAATAATATTAATAGTTTAAAAGATTTCACAAGCTGACCATGCTAATTTTATTAGATACCACTTAAGCTATAGTTTTGTTTTTTACTTTAATTCCACCAACCAAAAAAGAGAAATGAGAGTCACATCCTCTTATAGTAAATAAAAATGAGATCTAGAATATTAACCCAATTGTCCGGAAACGTAGAACACGTCATTGAACGAGCAACCCAATCAGCTATAACATTGTTTTTTTCTAGCCACACAGCTTTAATCTTGATTCTCGGGTTTGTTCTAAGGATTGAGATCGTTGTTCGTATCCATGCCACACATCTTCAAGGCTATATCGAGGGAGCGTGATCTGAAGTTTGTACCAGTAGTTGACACACTTATTTGACCAAATAGTTTGAACTATATTCTTGTGATAATTTGAGTTCTTCTAAAAGGGTTTTGTTTCAGATTCAGTTAAGGTAGAACAAAAGAAAATTTCAGCTTGCTCATCACATACTTGTCCATGTGTAGTTAACAGCACTACACCATAAGTTGATGACTGTAAGTCACTAAGGAACGACCTATCATAGTGATCACCATTGGGTGATTGCTTGGCACTGCACCTATATGATTTTGGGTTCCCTTGAGCTGATTGGAAGGGAGAGGGTTGAGGGTGGTGGCTTTCAGGCATGAAGTCCATTTCATGAATTCTCTATAGGTTTGCAAACAGATATTCGAGGCCCATGGCGCCCTATTCTTAAAAACACATTCATTCCTCGCTTTCAAGTTATTCAAGCAAAGAAATACCATATGAATAAGGCATCTAGGTTGGACAGTGTCTTTCATCAAGAAGAACCAGTCAAAGATAGAGGTGGATTGAGAAGGAAGGGAGAGGGAGGAAATTATGTTGTTCAAGACTTGATTGTGTGGGTGCAGAGGAAAAGGAAATAAAAGGAAACCAACACTCTTGATCTTCATTTTACGTCAAATGGTGATGGATAAATGGATAAAACTGAACTCTTTCGGCCAATGCCACCGCTACTCAATTCAATTTCATGAGTCACAAAAATATGACGCCTACCCACTCATCATATCCACTCAAACACGTTTTGAATGAATTATAATTGAGTCGATTTGGATGAGTTTAGAGGTGGACTCATTCAATGTCCATCTTTCATACATTTCATACATGGTAAGAAATAATATTAATAGTTTAAAAGATTTCACAAGCCGACCATGCTAATTTTATCAGATACCACTATTTTGCAGGAAAATTTACTTTTATTCCACGAACTAAAAAAAGAAATGAGAGTCACATCCTTTTATAGTAAATAAAAAAAATGAGATCACGAATATTAACACAATTGTCCGGAAGCGTAGAACGCGCCATTGAACGAGCAACCCAACCAGCTATAAAATTGTTTTTTCTAGCCACACAGCTTTAATCTTGATTCTCGAGTTTGTTCTAAGGATTGAGATCGTTGTTCCTATCCATGCCACACAGACTATATCTAGGGGGCGTGATCTGAAGCTTGTACCAGTAGTTGACACTCTTATTTGACCAAATAATTTGAACCATATTCTTGTGTTAATTTGAGTTCTTCTAAAAGGGTTTTTTTTCCTGCTTCAACTAAGGTAGAACAAAGGAAAATTTCAGCTTGCTCATCACATACTTGTCCATGTGTAGTTAACATCTACTACACCATAAGCAGATGGCTGTGAGTCACTAAGGAACGACCCATCACATAGAATCACCATTGGATGATTGCTTGACAGTGCATCGATATGATTTTGGGTTCCCTTGAGCTGATTGGAAGGGAAAGGGTTGAGGGTGGTGGCCCTCGGACATGAAGTCCATTTCATGAATTCTCTATAGGTTTGCAAACAGATATTCGAGGCCAATGGCGCCCTATTCTTAAAAACACATTCATTCCTCGCTTTCCAGTTATTTCATTGGTGTCCTGGCATATTTGAAAAGTAGCATTATGGGAGCACTTACGATGGTAAAGTCGTTCTTTCGTTGCCAGTGCATTCATGGAACACATCCATATGAAAAAATTTAATTTTGGTGTGAGTCGCAAGCTCCAGATCCATATCCAAATATATGGATTCCTTATGGGTATGACATGGTCTCGCCATCTCTAGTGCGCCGCATAGCCTACGCCCTAGCCACCTCTTGTCTCCCGCCGTCAACAGCTCTCGCCATCGCCGACCTGTAACCAATTGAAGCCGCTAGGCGCTAGCCCGCCAGCCGCCAGAGCGCTGAAGTCACAATGCTAAATCAACTGCCATCTCCCATTGTCGCATCACTAACTCTCTTATCATCTCTCGGCCGTCGCCAACTCTCTTCTCATAGGGTTGGGTTTCTCAACGGATTGAAATAAATGAAGAGGGAAAGTTGCAGAGAGAAACAGAGGAAGGAGTAAGCTCGGTTTAGTCGGTGTTTCTGATCTGAACCTAATTATATTTCAGTTTGGCTAGACCAAACCAAAATATAATTCAATTCGAAATTGGTTTCATGATTGAGGGTAATTAGATTACTGATATGTTGTAGTTCGATTTGGGTTGAACCAATCACGAGCCGATGCTCACAGCTATTGGCTCGTGATTGGTCTTAAAGCCACGATATCGAGGCTTGGCGTGTATCTTAGTTTATTTGGTGTGTAAGTTTTTGACCGGAAGGAGTCTACCGGGAGAAGGCAATAAATCGGGTAAATTGCAAATTTGGTTACTGAAATTACTAAAACATTTCACGTTTGTCATTATAATTAGTTTATTCCATTCATGCTCATTAAAATTAGTACAACAGTTCAAGTTTGGTTACTTTCCGTTAGTCTCCGTTAACTTTTTCTGATGTGGCAGTCGATTCTCATAGTTGACCGTTAAATGGGTGACGTAGCAAATAAAAAATAATAAAAATCATTTGTCACAATTTCCACGTCATTATAACAATTAATTAAACTAAATAAAACATTAAAATTACTATAAATAACAAAAATTATAATAAATTTTATATTATTTTTTATCGCCAGAACACCCTTTTTAACGGTCAACTGTGAGAGTTGACTGCCACATCAGAAAAAGTTAATGGAGACTAACGGAGAGTGACCAAACTTGAATTGTTGTACTAATCTTAGTGACCATGAATGGAATAAACTAATTTTAGTGGCATATGTGAAATATTTTAGTAATTCCAGTGACCAAACTTGCAATTTACCCGCAATAAATCTGTTGGAAAAGGAAAGAGTGAGAATAGGGAGAGAGAAATGTAATTCATGTAGTTTTAATTTTGAAAAAAAAAGAGTAATTAATATGGGTTTTTTATTGTCAAAGAGCAATAAATGCATAACAGATTCAATATCCAAAATAATTAATATGAGTTTGTAAATGGCTGCATGGCTGCCGTTTTAATGTTCCTTTTGTTACTTTAGCTACGACGGTTACAAAGAGGTGATCGTCTGTGATTGTCTGCTTGTTGGGCGAAGAAGGAGCTATACAATTACAATGAACATTAACAAAATATCAGACATTAGATATCCTCCTGACTATGATGTTGGCTCTGAGCTGACATTGATACCAGATTTTTAAATATGTAAACCACATTTGAAGTTAAGAAAACATATGTATATTGTTATGTATCCTGTAAAAAAAAAATCAGTGGTGAAGCTACATGAGGGGCTGTAGGATGTAGCCCCGCTCAATTATGAAATATAAGTAAAATTACATGTAAAATTTGCACAAATTTAGAGACCAGAATAGTTGATAAGGGATTAAAATTCCTTCAGGCTACGTTGTTGTCCCTGGTATCAAAATTGTGGAGTACGAAAATCACGATAGAGTGATAGAGCGAGGTGAGAACTCGATCGGACTTAACACGAGTTTTATCATATTACCCGCATTCATCGATTGATCGGAGAAAACGAGACGACTGCTGATTATACACACGATTTAGAGCGCCAATTTAGAAGAACCTGCAGCTTGCATGCATTATTGATTTTTTTTTAAACAGTTATTGATGATAACATGGCTCTTCTCTCTTATTTTCATTTTTGTTCAATTTTGATTTTTGAGTCTAACAACTGTAATGGCAATTGCACTTGTAAGGAGACCACGGAATAAAGCCCGGCTCGCACTCTCCTTTGCCTTGGTACTTATCCGCGCAGTCTTGTTTGCAGCGCTTTGGCCCATGGTCACAGTCCCATTGCTTCTCACAGTCTTCTGCCTCCACTCCCATTTTCTCTTCGCCTTTTATAATTAATTCACCATATTTCAACAATCAATTATGAACAAATAAAACAAGGAGTATAATATTATAAGAAAGGGCAAAAAAAAAACATTTACAGAAATTACTTTGAGTAGGAAGAAGGATTTGGGTACCTTGGGAGGTGAAGAGCAAAATAGCTAGCAGGAAGCATAAAGCCGAGGAAGACCTCGCCATAGTATATTATGCTTAATATATTTGCTTACAGAAGTTTTCAGAAAAATGAGAGAATGTAATCTGACTTTCTAGTTTATGGTAATGTGTTGGCTTTAGTTGTTTGGCTATGCTATTTATAATGCAAACTTTGTTGTGGGGGAGGAAGGAGGGCAGGGCGATGGAAACAAGGCAAGTTATCTGGTCAAAATATGGTGGGAAAAAAATGATGTAGCAATAAGAAAATAAGGCAATAAAATTAAAAACAATAATTGTAGGCTAGTTTTTTTTTTTGAATGAATATATAATATTATAAGCAAGACATTAAATCTTTCTTCATCCCTTAATAGTAAATAAAATATTTCTTTAGCGCATTGATGGCGGGTCGGGAAGGTTGAAGCGTTGGACTTACCGGATTTAGAAATATTTCCGTTTTCAGTTGGATAAGTCGTCTGTCAGTGTTTTATTTGAGACGTACGTTCAATAGGGGGCTGGTGTCTGCCACTGATTGCGGAGTCGTCGAAAAATCAATGAGTGATTCACCTTGTCATCCAAAATGTATAAGCATGATGTTATGTATATAGAGATAAAAAATTTCAATAACGTAGACAAAATGTTGAAACAACAAACACGCTCGGACGTATTGAAATTGACATTTTAGCTTTTTACCAGTAAAGGTGGAACCCAACGAAGATATGTTTGAAAAAAAGTTAGATAGAACCGCCAACCCAAATACTTAATGAATAATACATATTTAAAACATCTACTTTTGAAATGCACCATTTAGTTATGCATTCTCACATATTTCTTTATGACTCGTTTCGAATACCACAATAAAACTCTCAATAAAAGCCCAAGTATAAACTTTAACTAGGTGCAGTATAGGGCAAGTATGTTTAAATATCAACCCGAACCGGTTCATGTACCCCTACTTCGATTGTTTGTAACATTATCTAGCGGTTAAATTTTGGTGAAAAAATAATCTATAGCTAAAGCGTTTGCAAAGGTCAATGGATTTGACTCTAATTGAGAAGTCTTCACCCGGGTGTTGCTCCCCCTAGCTAACCGTTATGACTTGTTGGATCGAATGGTCGTGTGTGGTGAGGGGATTGTAACCCGTAGGGAAATTCAACAAGTAGGCAAGCGCCACTCTCTTGGTCTCTAGGTCGAGGGAAGGGAATATGATCCAACCCACCAACGTGACTCTCACGACTTATTGCTAAGGGTTGGTTAGACTTCACCCTCAAATCGGAGTTCGGACGACCACCCACAACCAAACCCTAGGTACTAATACGAAATAAGGGGTTTGCCCTGCATTAACCTAGATAGGAGACAATGAATTGCCTAAGAAAACCCAGCATTCAAGCCTCTTTTAAAGAAAATAAAGCGGGGGTTTTCTCTCTACCTAGGTTAGATTGATAATTAGATTGATAGGCTTTCACACAACACAAATAGTTCATGAATAATACCTCCACTTTCACATTAAACACAATCACACACAAATCATTCAATCCATACAAGCATTCACATAATTGTAGTTAGGGTTTACAAACACCTAAGTGAAAGAAGGGACTACTCCATGCTAGGAGAGGGGAAAACACAAGAGAGAAGAAGGAAAACCATCAATGAGATGCTAACCTTGCTCCTTGTGTTGAAGAGATCCTCCTTTGGGGGAGGAATTCCCAAATCCTTGCTTGAAGATGAAACTCTAGCTTCTCCTCTTCTTTGGTTCGTCACTTTCTCACTCTAGAAATCTAAAGAAGAAGAAGTTTCTCACACTAGGTCACTCTCCCTTCTTTCCCTTCAGCTCAACCTCCTTTATATACCCAGATCGGGCTCAGATCACGGTCCCGGTTCACGGCCGTGAACTGAAAGCTCGGACCGTGATCTCAAGTGGAAATGCGCCGCATCAGTAAGTCCAGTTCACGGGCAATGGCCTGAGTTCACGGTCTTACGACCGTGAACTGACTTGTGTTTAGTGAAAGCAATTTGTGCTCTAGATGCCTGGTTGTTCAAGGGTAGCGCCTCTAGTTCAAGGTCTTAGTGACTGTGAACACACAACCCAAACTGTGATATGCTGCTGCTTCCACCCTTTGACTTGATTTTTCGCCCTTTCGTCCAACTTTCGACTCCGGGTTTGGTTTCACCTGTCAAAGTCTGAAAAACACCAAAACACGGCAAAACCCGATGTAAATCCAAATCACCCAGAGTAAAAAAAGCTTCAAACGACTAAGCAAATCAGGGGTAAAAAAGTGTACAAATGAGCCCGAATCACTCCCACACACTTAGATGTTTGCTTGTCCCCAAACAAACCATTTTTTAACCTAGGTGATGTCTCAACCTAACAAGATAACTTGGGGACAAATCAAAAGGCACAAAGCGGTGAATCTTAATGACTATTGGGCATCAACACATGAACCGCCTCAAACAATTACGTCATCCACCACAAACGACATTCGATTGCATCAAGAATGGGCAAATGAAAATTTCTCACCATGTTCACAAATCAATGCAAGTCTCAATCGAACTACTCACCAACCACAACTAACCATGCATAGAACTCAAGTCCAAGGAACAGACAACGGGGCAACATAGGTCCTCCTCGGGGTAAGATATGAACATGCAAAACAAGAATGAATCACTCACTCTCGACTAGTGGGGTCATGAACTTTTTGGTGCAAAAGATGTGTACAATCATCAACACTCAGCCCTATCGTCTCTCCACCATGGTGGCAACCTCTAAATGCTAGAGTTCACGGGTCGGTTATCATCACTAGCTTGTCCGGACGTTTTAGACACAAGTTCAAATTGGCAATTGTCTTGGACATTGGGAAAAGGCTTTTGGGGGGTGGCAAACATGGCATGACATCCTTTAACCTAAAACCTAAGGTTCTATGGTCTCGACTTAGAACATTTTCTACAAACAAAGGCCACTAGCATCGGCCAAAAACCACATTTCCCTTCTTCCAAACCACTACCAATAACGAACTATATTCAAACACACTTCTTTAGCCTATCTTGCTATTCATATTTCAAATCTAGTAGTGAAGGAGGTCATCAAACAATTTAGGTGTTTTAATGGCTTGGGTGCCAAGAAACCCTTTCTAGAGCATACACTTAGACTCTTGTGGCCACTCTCTACTTTTATTTACACCGTTTTATTACCTCTTTTTGTTTCTTTTTCTCTTTTTGTTTTCGAGGTGGTACTAGAGAGCTAAACACATGCCACTTCTTTCATTTAACGAACAATGCTCTCCATTTAAGAAATTTTCTTCAATGCTACCTTCTCATTTCTAGAAAGAACCGTGCAAAACCACCTATGTAGAACCTCAATGGAGCTCAAAAGCGAGAACTCCGAGACACAAGAATGACTCACACTTTGACACGAAGAAAGGATGGGTGGGGGTCGTTCTTTCAATAACTATTAAGCTCATCAAGCATGAAGCTCCTAGCATTAGAACGACCCCCAAAGTCACACGGCTCAAAGGGGTTGACTAGGGGATAAGATGTTTCGGGACAACAACTTTTGGGCGTGGACTAATCCTATGCCTCTATCATACTCACTAGTGACAATGGTGAATGTTACACACCATGGAGAGAGGAATCTATCACACATGAAAAAGACGATCAACACAAAACTCACATGGCTACCTAACCACCCAATCATCTATTCCAATTCAAAAATTTCAATGCATGGCAATTGTAATCAAGGAGTAACCAAGTCAAGACATCCATTCATTTAAGCACACATGAGAACTAAGCTTTTGCACAACCCTAATGCATTTTTAGTCATCATAATAGGATGCACTCGATTACATGCAACAATTCAAGATCAATGCCAAATAAGAACGAGATCAAGTGTTCGGAGACTCAATGCATTTTTAGCAATCTACAATGAATCAAATAGCATTATGAGGGGAAAATAAAGACATCTAGAGTCGATGGAATTTTTGTTTTATCATAGTTATTGGTTGATGGTTGAAGACAAAGTCGCTAAACAATTTTGAAAATTTTGAACCAGGGGGTGGTCCCAAAGGTGAAAGACCAATTTCCCCAACGGAATACCACCTGATCAAGCTATGGAATATCGTTTATAAGTTGGTTGCTAAGTGCTGGAAAATCGACTTAAATTGGTATTGGAAAAGTTGATGTCTCTGGCACAAAGTGCTTTTGCCCCCGGACGATTTCAACCCGATATTGTGATGCCAGCATTTGAATGTTTTTACTCTATGAGGAAGCGATCAACTGGATAGAAATGTTATTTTGCGTTGAAACTAGACATGGGAAAAGCTTATGATCGAGTGAAATGAAAATTTAGTAATGATGTGTTTTAAACAGAGGTGGACCAGTTTAGTAATGATGTGTGTTCGATCTGTGTCTTATTCTATGCTAGTCAATGGAGATTGCTGACAGTGGTTCACCCTGGGTAGATAAATATGTCAAGGAGACCCACTATCTCCTTATCTGTTTTGTTTTTGTTCTTTGTTTTTTGTTTTTACCAAGGGTCTCTAGACTTATACGGAAACAGTGGCGGACCTAAGGCAAGGGAGGGTGTGTCGTCCGACAACCCTTCGATAATTATAGCCTACACACCTTCATTAGACTGGAAGAATTTTATTATTTAAATGAATCAATCTTAAATTCTAATTAACAAAATTCATTTTTAATTTGTTTAAAATAACTCATAATCATATCAATTGCTATTAAAAAAAATCACAGTCCATACCAATATACATGTGTGCTGGGATTGGTCCTTTCATTAATGGAGAAACAAAAAAATCACCAAAACCCAAGCGGCAACTGTCGAGACTCACCAGAATACTTGCTTTTAAAGTTGGTATGACTTTATATGTTAAAATGCAAGCTGCGAAAGAGCATTTTCAGCTATGAAGATAATCAAGAACGATCTTCGAAATCGGTTGGGTGACAAATTTATGAATGGTTGTTGTGTATATCTGAAAAAGATTTGCTTTGCAGCATAAGTGATGAATGCATTTTAGAGACACTTAAGTGGATGAAAAGTCATTTTGATTCATTGTAAACATGACATTGTGAACTTTATAAATTAATTTCTAATAATTTCTAATTAATTTTTA